ATATATTTAAACGAATTAATATAGTTACTAAGACAATTGACAATTAATCAAATTGTTATTTAAAAAAAGTATTGTTTAACTGAAAAAAACCCAATGACGAAATAAAGTTATAGACGTAAAAAATCAAAAAAATCAAAAACTTTAATTTTTTAATCGTGTTTAACACAATTCAGTTAGTATTAAAAAACCAAATATACTGTATATATTTATATACTTAAAAAAATACATATATTAAAAAAATACATATACAAGTAACTTCTAAATGCATTCTCTTTAAATGCACTCCTTTTACAAGCTTAAGCAAATTCATTTCATATATGGAAACCCTTCCTAAACGCACATTTAACCAAATTTTTATATGATTCCGAGGGAGGTGCATTTAGAGAAGCTTCTCTGTGTATTATAATTGTAACGCCTTAAGTCATTGGTGATTGGTATGATTGGTAACCTTGCACGGCAATTATTGGTTACCCGGCCGCAAATTTTGTGTTGTGCCCGCCCAATTTAGCGGTTCGCCTTTGAACTAAAAAATCCACTTAAAGAAGAATAAAGAATATTTATTTGCATCTCAATTTTACTATTTCACATTCCTTATTCCTTCTTTTCGCCCTCCTTTCTGACCTCCTTGTTCCCAAATCGCGCGTTGTGTTGTTCATACCTTCACGGTCTAATTTTGCCCCCATTTTCTCAAGGCATCTATAGTTCAAAGGTGCCCATAAATCAACTTGTGCGCGAAATATAATATTTTACATATTTTACGTTGAAAAGAATCTATTCCAGCCTGTATTCCACGTCATTCGCTACTCATACATTTAAACCTGTTTTTCATCACAAACGAAAGGCATTTAAAAACTACTTAATAATATAATCCACTAAAGAATCCCCATTTGAGTCGAGATATCAAACCATATAATTCCTGAGCCTAAAATACGGCTTGAATCGCGGGACACGATTCCATTCTCTACAATTTGTTGACAACTCGCCTGTAATAGCACTCTAAAAAATATTTTCGTTAGTTGTAAGTACCTTTCTCCTGCAGTTGTACATTGAGAAAAAAAACCTAGATTGCGTAAAATTTTATTACTAACTTCATGATAATTAATTATTTAGTCATAGTTTTGCTCATAATCCAGCCGAAACACATTAATTCAACTACTTGACGTTATTTTTTCTCTTTGGACATGACTACGAATCCTGGTCTTCAGTCGATATCTGATCTGACAGCTTCGACTCGTCTGACAACAGGTGACATACCACCTCCGCTTGTAGGTTCATCAACGGTTGTAATTGGTACTCATCTCTATCTGTTCGCTGGACGTCTTGTGTCCTCACGGCGCATGACCAATGAGTTATATATGTTAGATTTGGAAACTTTTGTATGGACAAAAATTCAAGATAATAATCAACAAGCGCCCAAAGCAAGATATTTTCATTCATCCAATCAGTACAAGAATTCTATCATCGTCTTTGGTGGGATGGGATACTCAAAATCAAGTGATAGTCTATGTGTTTTAGATGATATCTGCATTTTCGATCTGGAAACGTCATCTTGGAGATACCCTGAAATCGTACAATCAGATTTTTCTCCTCGTCCACGATATGCACATTTGGCTTCTGTAACTGCAAATAAGTTAGTGGTTATAGGCGGTCAAGACATGACAAACTATTATATTGAAGAAATAAACGTGTTTGATTTGAATGAAATGAAATGGACTTTATCACGATCGTTTGAAAAACATTGCGGAGCATATCGGTCGGTTGCTGTCAGTAGTATTAACCACACAAATCTGCCACTTTTTGGTAATAGTATGAATGACACTGTCTCGCTCACATCCTTTGAGGATTCTGAAACAAGTCCGGCGCAAATTCGAAAAACAACTTCATCGCAATCTTTATCTTCAACACCCAGTGCCACAAATGTTATACGCAAGCCTCCTTCAGTTGGTGCATTTGGTCGTCCAGTATCTATAAGAAGAACGCCTTCAGGTCAAACCCTTATTCGATCACAGTCGATAAAACGAATGCAGTCGTCCGGGAATTCATTTTATCGTCTTTCTTATACAACTAATGTTACCGAAGAAAATCCAAATCCAATTTATTTATATTCC